TCCAACCTAGTAGCGATGGTCTCCACCCTAGAAGCGATGGCCTCCAACCTAGTAGCGATGGCCTCCAACCTAAGAGCGATGGCCTCCGCCCTAGTAGCGATGGCCTCCAACCTACAAGTATCAAGTCGTCAAGTTGTGAAAGGCCAGAGTTCGGCTATCGCATCGGACATAGCACGGTCAGCAAGATTAACATGATGTCCACTTCGATCATTTTGTCACTACTCGGCAACCTACCGCCCACGTCATCCCACGTCACACACCTTGACACAAGATGCCTACACAGTCTAGGCAGTTGGGCGTTTCCTTTTTGCTAGGCCACACCCGGTTGGCTGGAGCCGCTCTTGTGGCGGATCTCCGAGGTAGGGTGGGGTAGAGGACGCTACTAGGAGCAAAGGGCATCGCTACTAGGAGCAAGGACGCTACTAGGGGCTCCTGGCCATACTAGGAGCAAAGACGCTACTAGGAGCTTTTTTGCTCCGCTGGATGTTCTCGTCAGAACTCCAGACTGTGCTCGTGCAGTTCAGGACCGTACGAGACTAGTGGTGCCCAGCATTGACGGCATCGACACTGAGGAGTTGGAGACGGTCTCGACGGCCGACGTCACTAGCTACAGTTGGGATCACTTTGGCGCCCATCGAGTTGAGCTGACTAGCTAATCAGTTGGCTTGGCGATTTTGATCTTTGGTACTAGCTTGTCAAAGGCATGACTTTAGGATACTTTAGGTACAAAAAAAGCATCTAAAACGGCTAGTAGTCCTAATTGACCTATGTCTATATAGATCAGTATATTTGAAGCGGATCCTTTTCAGGATTTCAGCTATGCCGTCTATGGTTTGGGCCTGGTGAGCTTCAACTGGCTGCTGAACCAAAAGCCTCGCGAACGGCCCGAGGGTGAGGCGGGAGGCGCCAACTGCGAACCGGAAAGGGGGTAGAGGACGCTACTAGGAGCCTAGGAGCAAAGGGCATCGCTACTAGAAACAAGGACGCTACTAGGGGCTCCTGGCCTTACTACTAGGAACAAGAAGCTACTAGGGGCTCCTGGCATCGCTACTAGGAGCAAGGACGCTACTAGGGGCTCCTGGCCTTACTACTAGTAACAAGAAGCTACTAGGAGCAAAGAGCATCGTGTGCGGCGGCACCGGCTACGTCCCACCCCACCGACCACTTTAGGCGCTAAGAAAAGATATGACACACAGTCATTACATGATAGTACATGTTTTTCAGGGTTTCTCTGTCTTTCTCGGTTCTTACCTTTCGACGAGCTACTACCTTTGTATGTTTGCACCTTAGTGCTCTTGTTTGGCTTGTTGTTTCTTCACTTTTGTTCCTATTCTTTCGACTTCACGTTTCACGAGGATTCCATGGCGCCCTCGACCGTGTTGTGCGGCGGTCTCTTCGCCGTGGAGCGGCATCCAGAGTGCAACACACTTGACACGAACAAAACGAGGTTTGGTGGGTCAGGTTTGTACCCTTTTGTTGGTATTTACATGTATTTACCGTTTCACTTTACCTTTGTTCTTTTTCATCTCACGTTTTAGGCGTTTTTCTTTTTGTCCGTCAAACCTCTCACATCTCAGCCCCTTCGCACCGGGGAGGACCGAGCCTGGTTTCTCCATTTGGGAGGCGAGAACTTGGCCGGCCCTTTGAAGCTGACAAGGGGCAAAGCTGTATACGGAACGTGTTAAACGTTCTTCAGTTTTGGCACGATGTTTTCCGTGTGTTTCCATGTCGGACCCTTTCCTTTGCAGGCTATGACCCTGAACTCCAGATCTACGGTGGTGAGGAGCACTGGACCCCCGTAGCAGACTTTGGGGTGGCACGAATAGGCACAGCTCGACGGAGTTGGTGTGCGGATTCGACTGGATTCAAGGAGATGGAGATCGGTTTCAGCGCATGGCAATGTGGTGGCTCTGTGGTCCACGAGCCGTGCCAGCCTCATGTCCTCAAGCTTTGCACAATCCTCAAGGACTCTAGGAGGAAACGATGATTTGTTTGGAAGCAACAATCGTTAATTGTCATTGAGGAACACTTATAGCTTTTTCCCGGGGGCTTGTGGCTTAGACCAGGCCTGCAGACACCAAAACCACAGGCAAGAGGTTGTTGACATTACATTGAATGACATTCACAGAATGGACATAGAACATAAGTAATTCTGTGTTGTTTGCCAATTTTATCAAACATCAAATTCCCCAATGATGATATTTGCCAAAACACATGCAGCCCATGTCACCCGCTCGGCATGCAGCTCATGCTGTGCCGTCTCTGAGTTTGAAGTCTTACAGTGCCCGTGGAAAACAAAACACACGGAATTAGCATGTGCTTATGTGCTGCTTGTTACACGAATTCCTCGTTGTTTTCGTGTTTTGTTTGCTGTGGAGCTCGTGTAATTGTAATATAATTGTAATATTGCAATGCAGAGGTTGGAGGGTATGTCCCACCGCTACAGGTACCGCCATCCACCGAGCACACTGGTTGCAGAGTCTATCTCTCCTGGTGCAGGTGGAGGACACAAGGGCTGAATATGGCAGATGGGTAGCGATTGTTGGAAAATAATATATGTATAATATATATATATATGTTTTTATAGTGGCAAGTAGAGGGATACTTTGCGCAACGTGCTTGATTGTACAGTGCATGTCACGGTTGCCATATGTTGCCATGTGCTGCCAATACGACCAATATGGCTGCGGCGGGTTATCTCAAAGTGCGACGTGATGCTCGACCCGATCTTCAGGAGATGACCTTCGAGGCCGACCTCATCGCCTTCAGCGCTGCAATCACTTCATGTCAAAAAGCAAAAGCATGGCGCTTTGCGACGTTCTTGTTCCTCGCATTTTGTGCACAGAGTGCTGTACACAAGTTGTCATAAGCTTTCCACACTTTTGGAGACGAGGTAGAACAGGTCGAATACCGATTTCAAAGGATTTCGGCGGCCCATATTCCGGTGCTGAGGCTCCCACGCAATGGAGACTGCATTGCCTTCAACGCAGCGATTAGTGCGTGCAGCGAGGTTTGGCAGCAGGCAGGGAGAGGAGTGTCGAGCATTTGCGAGTTTCAATTATCAAACTGATCAAACAGAATCAAATTGAATCACTTGTAGTTCAACTTGAGCAAGATGTCCAGCCCTTCAGCAGAACTCTTGAATCTGCGTTAGATTCGGAAAAGAATCAAAGTCTCAGTGAGCAACCTCCAGAGCAAGTTCTTTTGCCTTGCTACAGTACGCCTGCTACACACGCTACGCGTCCCTCCACCTCCCTTCACACGGAGCTGACCTTGTGCCCCCACGATGTCCTGCTCAGGCGCACGAGCTCCTGCTGCAGGAGGAAAGGGCAGAGCTCTGATATCCCCGTGTGGTTTCGGGTGGTTTCAGTCCCCATCCACCCCCTGCGGGGTGGGGCGGGGGAATAGCATTTGTTGATCCGTGTTCGATCCGCGTCGTTTGGCAGGGGGCCTCGAATGTAAGTGTTGTATCGGTTCAGGTTTCATGTTGGACCATAGGTTAAGGAGACGAGTTTAGCCCGAAGGAGACATGAACAGTGGCAGTGGAGGCAAAGCCTTGGGCCTGTGAATCCACAAGAGTTGCTGCAACACTGGTCGTCCTGCAGAAGTGAACGTTTCCTTGAAGCTCAGGGGGCGGATGTGTCCTTGACCGTCAAGTGCTTTCGTTCCAGGTAGGAGCGTGAGGTCAACCCACTACACCCGTTGGTCCGCGGTAGGAAGGGGAGACTGCCAACTCATACCAACTGATTGCTTGGGACATGACTTTTCCAAGATCTATATACTTGACCAGATAACTTAGACTTGCGGATGTACATGTTGCTAGATGTAACAGAAGCATATGTCTTCAATGCAGGTTGAAAGTAGTTCCCGGGCTTTCAAATCCACGTTTATTGACATGAAACGCAGTGGCCAGGAGGTTCCACATCCTAACACCAATAGACGTACGAAAAATGTTGATCCCCATGAAATCTGCGAATGGTAGTGTAAAGCCAATGGAAAACAAACATGTTGACACTGCCACTTTTGACTTGACACACGGCGTAATATCTGCCATAGACCTATATAGTTTCCGTATGTCGTATGCACGCCTGGATTTGTTGATTCAATGTCGGTCACAAAGCTGATGTTGCGGACATTCGACTTATGATTTCTCATCATTTCTCCAGGAGCTGTCCTCTCTACAGCCAGACCTTATCGCTTTGAACTCGGCTCTGAGCGCCTCTGCGAAGTCGGGTGAATGGAAGGCTGCCTGCCTGGCCAGAGCTCGAATGGAAGCGGAGGACGTGACTTGCAGCTCTTTGCAGGGGCCTCCTCAACTTCAGAAGTCTCACTGGGTGTCATTTGTTTTCTGTGTTTGTTTTTCACTGTACCTCAGGCAGTTCATAACGCCCATAATGGGCTAATGTCAGCAATGATGGTGAGGACAGAATTACACTTTGCTCCTGCATCACTGCATGTGAGAAGGGCAGCGAATGGCAAAGAGCACAGATACTCCTAGAAGAACCCTGTGATGGTAGTTGTGATGGATTCTTGCAGGCATCTAGAGGGATTAAGTCAATATTGTCATAGGATTGTGTCTCTTAGCCGATTGATTCCGTGCTGGATTTGCCAAGGTTTCCCAGACATCGTTGCATACAATGCCAGTTTGAGTTCCTTCGAGAAAGGGGCCAAATGGGTTCATACTTTGCGCTTACTGGACAAGCTTCAGGATTCAATACACTGTATGTTTGTTTTCCGATGACTTTGCTACAGTATGCAAGAATAAGCATCAATGAAATGTTTGTCGCCCGCGACAGGAACGGCAGCAAAAGGCCGACACAATAACTGTCAATGCTGCGATAAGCGGCTCTGAGAAAGATTTGAAAGTGATATTTTGGGATAGACTGGAACTTGCATGGTGTACTGTGTTTGATTTTATGTTCGATGGGCAAGCAGGGAACTGCCACGTGTGCTCAGGTGGTCAGAAAGGAGATGATCAAACAGATGAAGCCTGGCCCCGAGCGTTGGATTTGCTCTTTGGTCTCCCCAGAAGGCGCCTCACTCCTAGTGCAACTTGGCGGACAAAGCGGGATGGTTGCTAAGCTACATCTAGCCTCCAGGGATAGTGCACTGCTGAATCCAACTGCCTTTGATATTGCATGTGATTACACCAAAGAATTGCCGATCTATATGATTGCTGTTGGAACCCCGAAAGGTTTCCAGGGGCCCAGGGGGTCGCCAAGAGGTTATCACCTATTCCTCAACGGCAAGCACCTGCTTCAAGTGGCAAAAGACAGCCGAGCTCCTAGTGTCTTGGCCAAAAAAGTTCATTGAATTTTGAACGTGTCAAAAAAATATAAGCAACAAAAGATAACACACGAATTAAGGAACATTAATTAAGACTCTTATGAGGTGGCATAGCAGTTAGCAAGGTCTGGGCCAAAGGAACGATGTTGTGAGCACCTTCTTCCGGAGGTCCTTTGTGAGTTCTCAACTGGCCCAAGCCTCGTTCTTTGCAACGCAGTCATCAATGCCTGTGAGACCCTCGGCTTTGCCCAAATGACATGTTTTAGGGACAAACCAGAGGGAGGCCTGTGGGGATTTGGAATGAACACTGCGAACTGCCAATGTTAAGCAACGTGTTCCTCAGGGAATGGCCTTGGGCCTTGGATCTCTTGGGCCAGCTGCCTTTGATCCGATTGAAGCTCGGCAAGGAATCACATGGAGCACAAAATCACGGAACACACTTGTTGTTTCGGCATGAAGAAAAGCAACAAGAAAAGCAACATGCAAAATGATGTAGTGTAGTCGCTTGAGGTTTTAGTCATGTTGTGCCGAGATTAAAAGACGCATCTACTTTGAGTGAAGATGTGCATTGTTGATACGCTTGGCACACTTAGTTGATCGCAACAAGCTACAGAAAGCCTCCACGATGTGGAAACCCAATTCAATCGGCACCAGTCTCAGAAGCCAAACTACATTCAGGAACAAAAATGAAGTTTCGGACGGCTCCATCACGTCTGCTATGGCACGAGCAGGGCGTTGGCAAGAGGCCAATCCATGACATGCCAGCAATGGTTTTGCTGTTTTACGCTTCATGGATGCAAGCATCAAGGTGTGAGTAGTTCCTAATTGTAGTAATAGTTCCTAATTGTAGTAACTACACCTCAAATCCTAGTGCAGCACAGGTAACAACCTGTAGCTGTTTCACTAATTACACAGCTCCACGGCAGGCTTTTGCTTTCAATGTCACCTTGGGCATCATTGCAGCCAATGCTGTCATCAACGCTTGCGAGAAAGGCTGCACCTCTATTACATTGCAACACTTTGCAACAAACGCTGAGCAGTCCCACTGCCCGTTCCTTGATGGTTCTCCTCAAAAAGACCAGAGAGGGATAGTTCTATACTGCCTCAAATTGCCCTCATACTCATTCTAAAGACTTAATAGATATGTTTTGGATATCCAGGTAGCACTTGTTTCAAGCTGCTGCGTGCAGTGTTGCTTTCATGTGGCTGCTTCTCAAGAGGGCGGGCTGCAATGAATTCTTGTATTCGGGGTAGGAGTAGGGGAATTGCTGTACTTCAACCACAGCTAGCTTGGATGCCACATGATACTGACCTCAAGATACTGCAAGTAGCATCCTGGAAGCACGGCCCTCTCAAAGATCACCACCAAAGTATGTCAAATTCAATATGGGGCCAGTGCAAGATGACACTATGTTGCGTCAGCATATGCAACAGGCTTGTGGGTGACGCGTGTAACGAAGATTTGTCAATAGCTTGGAAACTGACGATGTGTTTAATCATGTTTAATCTGCAATTTCTCTTTCTATCTTCAGTACAACGAGAAACTGCAAAAATGACTCAGACCAGTCCATCCAATTTTCCTTTGAAACACAGGTGGAGCCTGGCTGACTGCTGCAGAGATCTTGAAGGAGCGTTTGTGG